TGACTTGTGGACTTCAACTCCCAGAATTCCTGAGCCAGCATGGGGAAACTATGGCCCCTTCATGATTTGTGGACTTCAACTCCCAGAATTCCTCAGCCAGCATGGGGGAACTATGGCCCCTTCATGACTTGCAGACTTGAACTCCCAGAATTCCTCAGCCAGAATGGGGGAACTATGGCCCCTTCATGACTTGTGGACTTCAACTCCCAGAATTCCTGAGCCAGCATGGGGAAACTATGGCCCCTTCATAACGTGCGGACTTCAACTCCCAGTGTGCCTAGCTGAGGAATTCTGGGAGTTGAAGTCCACAAGCCATAAAAGGGCCATGTTTGAAAACCCCTGGATTAGACCTTCTCCATGGTGATCTGTCCCCAACCTGGTCCTTCAGACAACTAGTTGTAACTCACTTTTCTCGGTTCGATGACTCTCTGTGTTGTGCAAATCCACTCCTAGGTCATTCTGGGATAGCAAATCTCAGCCGGTCCCTGTCTATTACTCCCCCAGGCCCTGATAGGCTGCACAGTGGACGTGAGGACTCTGGATGACCGGCTGTTGAACATCCCCATCAACGATATTGTCCAGTAAGTCTTGGAGGAAGGGAAGGGTCTGGGGAGCTGACAGTTAACCCCTCCCCGGCTGCGTTCACACCACCGAACATTATGGAATGGTTAACCAGACAACTTCAGTCTTGCAGAAGGGAAAGATGGCCCAAAGATGCTTTTTCCAGAGGCAACTGGACTTTCTTGTTTTCCCCTGAAGATGTTTTGCTTCTCATCCAAAGAAGCTTCTTCCGCTCTGACTGGATGGTGGGGAATGGAAGGATTTATACTCCTTGCAGAAAAACTGGTCATTTGCCTTCTTTGAGAAGGTCGTTGAGGCCACTTGGAGGTTTGTCTGTGTCCTTGCTGTCACTCGGGTGGTGCAAATGGGTGTGAAGCCTTCTTGGAACTGTGGAAAGGACTGTGTTGCAGATTGGAGATAGCTAGACTACCCATTTGCATCACTCAGGACACAAAAAAACCCTCCCAGTGGCCTCAACAGCTCTCTAAAACAGTGGTTCTCAACCTTTTTAATGCCGTGACCCCCCCAACTGGTCGTAAGTCGAGGACTACTCAACCGGTCGTAAGTTGAGGACTACTCAACAGGTGCAGTACTGTTTGCAGAATGGGGCTTTTGGCGGGCTCAGCAGGGCAGAGACAGCCTGGACAATTCCTATTGGCTTTTGAAAGCCAATAGAATTAGACCCTATTCAAGAGAGTCTATTCTATTGGCTTTCAAAAGCCAATAGAATAAAAGGGGTTAGCACAGCTAAGGAAAAGGGGGAAAAAATGGCGGACTGCGTCGTTTGGCGACCCCCGTGAAATGGTCGTTCAACCCCAAATGGGGTCCCGTCCCACAGGTTGAGAACCACTGCTCTAAAAGAAGGCAAATGACCAATTTTTCTGCAAGAAGGATAAATCCTTCCCTTCCCCACCATCCAGTCAGAGCGGAAGAAGCTTCTGGGATGAGAAGCGAAACGTCTTCAAAGAAAAGGCTCCACACTCATTTGCACCACTCGGGTGACCCCGAGGACACAGATAAACCTCCAGGTGGCCTCAACGACTCGCTAAAAGAGTAAAAATGACCGGCTGTCTGCAAGGAGTATAAATCCTTCCACTCCCCTCCATCCAGTCAGAACCTGAAGAAGCTTCTGGGATGAGAAGCGAAACGGTTTCAAAGAAAAACAAGAAAGTCCAGTGGCCTCCTTAAAAAAAAAGCGCCTTTGGGACAATTATGACCTGGATGATGGAGAATCTCCAGGGAAGGCAAAGGGCCTGCATTTAGCAGAAGGGGAAAACTCACTTCGAAGAGCAGGAAGCAGAGCCGTGTAACCTCGAACTCCCAACCCGGGGGAGGTTTATTGGGCAGCGAAATGTACTCTGGCTGCCCAAGCTGGGAGAGTTAATGGGAACATTAAAAACCATTTGTTTAGTGACAACGGCAGAAAATGTTGATCCCGTGACCACGGGGAATGCTGCAACCGTCGTATGTGTGCGAAAAGCGGTTCATAAGTCACTTTTTTCCAGTGCCCTTGTGCAGGTGGTCCTCGACTTATGATTATAATGGAGCCTCAGCATTTCTGTCGTTAAGCGAAACATTTGTTAACTGGGTTTTGCCCCCTTTTACGACTTTTCCTGCCATGGTGACGAAGGGAATTGCTGAAGTTGTTAAGTTAGTAACACCGTCGTTAAGTGAATCTGGCTTTCCCATTGACTTTGCTGGTTAGACGGTCAGAAAAAAGAGGATCACGTCCCCCCTGGGACACTGCAACCGTCGTAAGTCCATGTCAGTTTCCAAGCGTTTGGATTTTGATCACATGCTGCAAAGGTCAAGTGTGAAAAAACGTAAGGCCGTAGGTCTCTTTTCCCAATGCCGTTGTAACTCTGAACGGTCACTAAAAGAGGTGTCGTAAGGCGAGGACTACCTGCAATTTCAGTCACTAAACAAATGGCTGCAAATTCGAGGACTGTCTTGTGTTTGTGTCTGGCCTCCTAGCTGCTCTCCTTTCCCCCCCAGCCACCATCTCTTTATTTTTCCTTTTTTTAAAAAAAAAAAAATGTTTTATTGGTTTTTTAACAAAACCTTAATATTTGGCAAATAGTAGTGTTCTCTGGGTTTATATTTAAAAAAGCCATCAATAACAATGAGTTTCTCTAATTCAGTGGTTCTCAACCTGTGGGTCGGGACCCCATTTGGGGTCGAACGACCATTTCATGGGGGTCGCCAAACAATGCAGTCCGCCATTTTTTCCCCCTTTTCCTTAGCTGTGCTAAGGAATAGAGTCTAATTCTATTGGCTTTCAAAGGCCAATAGGAATTGTCCAGGCTGTCTCTGCCCTGCTGAGCCCGCCAAAAGTCCCAGTCTGCAAACAGTGCTGCACCAGTTGAGTAGTCCTCGACTTACGACCGGTTGAGTAGTCCTCGACTTACAACCGGTTGGGGGGTCGCGGCATTAAAAAGGTTGAGAACCACTGCTCTAATTCTATAGTCCACAAAATAGCTTCGCTTGGTTTTCTTTCCTTCCGATAATATTCTCTTTTGCCAACCTTGAATTAATACGGGGCTTATCCTTTGGATAAATGACAGTTAAATATAGGCATTTTTTTCCAATATTTCTGCAAACAATGACGTCAGTTTCTGACTGACCATCTCAATTGCCTCATCATAGATCCTGCGTACAAACGTTCTTATTTAAATTGAAATAACCACCGCCGTCTCTTTCGTCCTTTTGCAGTCCCAAGTACTTCAAAGTGGTCCCTGGTGAGGGGATGCCGCTTCCACAAGACCCCACCTGCAAGGGAGACCTCTTCATGTACTTTGACATTCTCTTCCCGGTCAGACTCACCCCAGCCAAGAAGGCCCTCGTGAAGGAAGCCCTCCTGATGTGAAGACCACCCCTCCCGGTAGACTGGGCTGCTCTCCCCCAACCTTTTTTTTTTAAAAAATAATAAATTAAAATGTTTTCTATTGAGTTTAGATGCCAAGGACTCCTTGCAGTGGTGGGATTCAAAGACCCGAACAACCGGTTCTCTGTGTGGATGCAGGCCGGGCTTCTGAGGCCTCGAACAGACTTCCGGAAGTGGCATCCACGCACTTCCGGCAGGCTGATGTAGGCCCGGGAGGCCTCCTCCAGGCCTCTAAGGCCTAGAACAGACTTCCGGAAGTGGCATCCACACACTTCCGGCAGGCTGATGTAGGCCCGGGAGGCCTCCAGGCTTCTAAGGCCTAGAATAGACTTCCGGAAGTGGCATCCATGCACTTCCGGCAGGTTGGTGTAGGCCCGGGAGGCCTCCTCCAGGACTCTAAGGCCTAGAACAGACTTCCGAAAGTGGCATCCACGCACTTCCGGCAGGCTGATGTAGGCCCGGGAGGCCTCCTCCAGGCCTCTAAAGCCTAGAACAGACTTCCGGAAGTGGCATCCACGCACTTCCGGCAGGCTGATGTAGGCCCGGGAGGCCTCCAGGCTTCTAAGGCCTAGAACAGACTTCCGGAAGTGGCATCCACGCACTTCCGGCAGGTTGATGTAGGCCCGGGAGGCCTCCTCCAGACCTCTAAGGCCTAGAACAGACTTCCGGAAGTGGCATCCACACACTTCCAGCAGGCTGTTCTAGGCCCGGGAGGCCTCCTCCAGGCCTCTAAGGCCTTGAACAGACTTCCGGAAGTGGCATCCACACACTTCCGGCAGCCGGTTTTAGGCCCGGGAGGCCTCCTCCAGGCCTCTTAAGGCCTAGAACAGACTTCCGGAAGTGGCATCCATGCATTTCTGGTGGGCCATTCTAGGCCTGAGAGGCCTCCTCCAGGTCCTCTGAGACCTCCGGAAGCAGTGTGTATTCAGCCGGTTCTCCGA